AATACATGTAAAAATAGGAGGCGAGCGGCAGATGGGAGCTTGTTAAGAGAAATTAAGTGGCAGGCTTTGGAAAATCTGTCTATGACTGTCAGGATAACTGTCTTATTCTTGGAGATGGGAAGACTAGTGATAAAGTCTAGGGATATATGTGACCTGGGCCGACTAGGGACTGAGACAGGTTGCAGGAGACCAACTAGAGGGCGGTGAAGGTTCTTCCCATGTGCACATGTGTAACAGGCTGAGACAAACTCTAACACATCTTTGTTGAGAGAAGGCCACCAGAAATAGCGGCGGAGCAAACCGATAGTACGGCTAGCCCCTGGGTGGCAGGAGAACTGTGATGAATGAGCCCATTGGATGGCCTGAGAACGGGTTCTTGCCGGAACTTAAAGGCGGTTGGGAGGTCCCCCCCCTGGATCGGGTTCGGCCTTCAAGGCTGCTTTCTTACAGTTCCAGAATAGCCCCCCAACCACAGAGGAAGGTGGAAGGATCGGCTGAGGGGTTTTAGAGGAGTCATCAGAGGTAAACTGTCTCGACAAGGCATCTGGCTTAATGTTACGTGACCCAGGACGATAAGTGATATTTAGGTTGAATCTGGAGAAGAACAAAGTCCATCGGTACTGCAAGGAGTTCAGTCTCTTGGCGTTTTGAGGTAGGACAGATTTTTGTGGTCGGTCCAAACCACCACCGGGAGTTCTGAGCCTTTGAGCCAGTGCCTCCACTCTTCTAGTGAGAGTTTGGTGGTTAGGAGCTCTCTGTTTCAGCTTGAGAGCTCCAGAGGGTGGATAGGTAGGTGAGCATTCGAGGATGGATCCAGGAGGACTGGGTGGAGAACCGGCTTGGAGACTGCAAAGCCTCTAGGAGAGAGAAGGAGGACAAGGAGGTAAGCTTGAGTTTTAGCACAATGTTCAGTTTTAGGAGAGCTAGCAGGAAGGTTAGCACTATGTGGAATTTTAACCGACTGGTGTCCGTCCCTGGGAATCCACTCCTCTAAATACTTCTCCCTGATTGCGTCCAATTGGAACCAGCTGGAGGCTTGTCTGGGCTGGTGTCTCTGAGGAGGAAAAGGTAAGAAAAAACCCTAACAGCTCAGTACACAATCCTGTGAACCCAACATAAACATTATAATGTCAGTATCTGCAGCCCAATTGGTGTCCTAGAAATCTGCTTGTGTGCTGACTTCTACTCTGATTACATTCAGTGTTTCTCACTTTCCAAGCAGTGAAACAGATGCATTGATGNCAGCAATCTCTGTGCCATTTTGTGGATTTCTTGCTAGGTTTGAAGGTAGCATACTTTTTCCTCTGTGATGCTAACAGGTTGACATCTTGGAATCTATTTCAACTCAAATTAATGTCTTTAATGTTCCTTCCTTGTTTCCCAACAGCTGCAGGCAGCAGTGATCCAAAGTATAAGTATGAGGTTATGAATGTATAGAACTGAACATGCCATTGTTTAAAAAAAAAAAATAATAATAATGAGGGTTTATTCTTCACTGTTCAAAACTAATTTTATCTTTTATGATAACAGTTTTGTCATGGTGGCTTTCAGATATAACCCACATGCAGAACACCACCACGGAGACAGGGATAAAAGTTCAAAGGTTTATTAATGAAAAACACACAACGATAAGTACACGTATTAGAGATCCAGCTACACTATTAGGTCCAAAAACATATTTTATAATAAAGCCCTTCACTTTTTTTTAGCGTTTTATTTTTCATGTGCAGAACAAACCACTCTGACTTAGAAATTAACATTTAACTGGAGACCAAGAGCAAGCGGTGAGACCAGCACAGGTCATTACCACCAGTGCTCTATCGGTGTGGTTTTCTTCTTTCCTGTTCCCTGTCATGCAACAAAAGCATTTTTTTTACGTCTGCTGCATGTAGAAATTTTTATTTTTCATTAGATGCAACATTCAGACAGTTGACACTCATGGATATGGCAGGCTTTACCTTGCTGATATGGACTGTCAGCAGTACTCTGGCTCTTGGTGAGTTATTATATTGAACTGTAACCAAAAAGTGAGTGTGTTGTGTAAGAAAAATAGTAATCATTCTGTAATTTTATAGAATAACATATGTTAATCTTGTTCATATGTTAGGAAATGTTAAATAGGCTACTCTATAAAAATACTTTTCATTTGTTATCACTCTAAAACTTGATCTAACTTCTCCAGCTAAATCTGTCAGGTTTGCAGTGGGGCTTGTGCCTATCTCCAGCAGTCTATTTATTAACCTCAGTCAAGATTTTTTTGACTGTGAGAGGACATTGGAGTACCTGTAGAGACACACATACATAGACAGGGAAAACATGCAAACTCCATGAAGGAAGACCCTAGGCTAAAAATCAGACAGCCTCCTTACCTCCAAGAACTGAACCAAACACAGCAATGGCTGCCACCACAGGTTCTATGTTCACATCTGAGTTTTTGACTCTAATACCTGTTTGTTAAGGATCAAAGTTTAGAAAACAGTCTTTAGGACCAAGTTTGAAGTGGAAAACAGCAGGTAACTACAGTATATATTTGAGATGGATAAAGAAAGTATTTTTAATGTTTCTATCTTGTTTCTTAACAGCTGCAGGCAGCAAAAAACCACAGTGTGAGTATCAGCTTTGAGGTCATGAGCAAAAGTCTAAATGTGCCATTTTGTGGATTTTTTTCTCTAAAAAAAATAGAGATTTCTTGCTAGGCTTGAAAATAAAATACCCTTTTCTCTATGATGCTAACAGGTTGGCATAATCAGTCCTGGAATGCTGTTTAAACTAAAATGCAAAACTGTTATTGTTCAGGTTCTTACAGCATTAAATCGATCCAGTTTGGTTTCCTGATAACGATGACAGATTTTACTGAGGGTCTCTACACCATAGCTGAGAAGGAAGGTCTGTTTGAAAGGAAAGACAATGTTTCTTTCTCCAATAAAAACTCAACTCATGAGATCAAGCCTCTGAAGCCGTGCACTGAATATGAAATAATAGTCACACTGATTGGTGTCAATGATACAAAAATCATCTGTAACAAAGCTGATGATAAAAATACATCAACAACAACAGCAACAACTGGAATGAGTAAGTAAAATATCCTCACATCTTAATTTACATTATTTATTGAAATATGACTAGGACAAAACTGCTTTGTGTTTCAGATCAAGTAGACATTAAAAAAGTCTCCTGCCCTGCTGGATATCCCAACCACTTCTGTTACCAGAGTGGTTGGGACATCAGCTCTTTATCATCCAAATACGTCAAGGCTTCACCTCCAGAGTTCAACAGTGGATCATATCATTTCAAACCTGCTTATGAGGATATCTGCTCAGATTTTGTTTTAGAGTATCCTACAGAAGACTGCACATACAGCCAATATACCGCCCCTCAATATGTTCCTGTTGGTATGTACAAAAACCTATTAAAGATAAAATCTATTTCTGTCTCATCGGTTATATCTATTTGATCCTTTTGTTCTTCAGATTTCATTGATCCAAAGGACATAAATCAGCCTAAACCCACTAAACTTCCTGCAAAGATCGAACCAAAGTTACCTTCAAGCTGTAAAAATCTCACTGTTGAGTACAAATGTCCAGGTGAGCAGAAACTACAGCTGTCAGAAATATTTAAAATAAATGACAAAAAAAACTGTAAAAACAGATCTTTGCCTAAAGACACATTGTAAATAAATTAATTATTTTAGGGAAAAGTTTTAACATGTTCTCTCTCTGGATCTAAATATTTACTTTTACTGTATGGGGCAAAGTTCTACTTGGTGTTAATCTCAGAACAAAAAGCCCAGAAATTAATAAATGTTTGTGTCTCTTCAGAAAATGACAATAAAACAATTGAACCATCTGATATGAAGCCGTTCACCGACTACATCTGTACTGGAGACATCAAGAACAACAATGTCTACATAAATAAGATAACTCCACCTGTACACGTCAATATTTACTGTGGTGTGTTTAAAAAATTACTGCATCTTATTGGAAAGAAAAAAATAAAGTTATACTAACATAGTGAAAAACAATAACAGGAACTGGATTCATTGGTGGTTCTTATTTTATTCCAACAGATTTTACAATATGGGACTTAAAGAACGAAACACTCAACACTTCCATTAACCTGAGCTGGGAAACAACGAGTGATAAATGTCAAGATGTTCTTCACAACCTGGATGAGCTCTCTTACAGCTGTAATTGTCAGAAAAACAAATGTGAGTAAAGTTATTAGATTTGTTTTTTTTTCTAGTATATTAATATCCAATAATGTTAAATATATTTGCAGTAGGATCATCTACTGTAAGTTTTACATATTTAGGTGAAATTGTCATGATGGGTCTTAAGTGTTTCGCCCACATGCAGAAGCACTCACAGAGGCAGGGAATAGTTTAACTGTAGAAGCCATATTGATGGGTGTGCAGGTGTTTGTATCACGTGGGAATAGTTGCTGTGGTGACACATGCGGTGACAGCTGATTGCTTAAATGGGTGTGTTTACCTGGTCCGGAGGAGAGAGGGGAGCGGTACTGTGACCAAGCCACTCGGGGTGGAAGATTTGGACAAGGCTGAACTGGCCATAGTTAAATATTGTCAGCAAAAGCAATTTCCTGAGGAATTCGCCAGTTTAGAAAAGGGACAACCCATTAAAGTATCTAGCAATCTTCTGAAGCTCTGTCCACGACTGCAAGATGGAGTCCTAAGGGTTGGGGGTAGACTCAGTAGATTGGCTATGCCTGTGGAAATGAAACACCCTGTGATACTGACCAAAAATCTCCATGTTTCACGCCTTCTTCTCAGACATATTCATCAGCAAGTAGGACATGGAGGCCGTAATCTAATGTTGTCCAAATTGAGAGAGAGTCACTGGATAATTGGTGGGACTACAAAGGAAAGTGCTATCAAAGTGTATTATCTGTCGACGCCTTAATGCTATGCCAGTTTGCCAACAGATGGCAGATTTACCCAAAGAAAGAATTGTTCCAGATGAGCCACCATTTACTCGTGTTGGAGTAGATTACTTTGGTCCTTTTGAAGTGAAAAGCAGAAGAAACACAGTCAAAAGATATGGTGTAATTTTTACCTGCCTTGCCATCAGAGCAGTTCACATTGAGGTTGCACCATCCCTGCACACTGATTCTTTCATCAATGCATTTAGACGCTTTGTTGCAAGAAGAGGCCAAGTCCAAGAACTTCGTTCTGATAATGGTACCAACTTTATAGGAGCAGATCGAGAACTAAGGACAGCTATTGAACAGTGGAACAAGGAGC